CGCAGCCAGAGAAATGATAAAAAGGAGTACGGATGAAAAAGAAGAGGAAAATAAATTAGAGACAACCAAAAGAACAGCTATATGCTTTCGCCTTATTTCACAGTAAGCTCTTTCACATTTTAATCTTGTCCTTTTTATGGGACATGAGATTTTAACCAACCGATTTTACCTCATTCGGGGCACCTAGAGGTAAGTCGTCGGGTGTTTGGGACCCTACCTGGAAGGCTGGCTACATCAAACGAATCCACTGCTGAAACTAACTTCCTCATTGTTGTAACCGCACAGGATTGAGCTTGGTACTGGATTCTTAAAACGATCGTCTCCGGGTACCGTTTCTCGTCCAGACACGAACCCCACAGGTAGTAAAACAGAACACAGCTGGAAGCATGTACGAATTCATTTATTACGCAAAAATCATGCTTTTTTATAGAAAAGAGCGAGGACAGCAGAATGCATATATCAAACGAGTGGTTGATTGGATTGTTGTCAGCTGTCATGATTGGTTGGCGGTTCCGGCCAATCATCTGAGTTCGTCTATCATTGTTCTGATTGTTTGTCCCAGAAAAAAGCCGTTTTCAGAGAGTATGGTGATTCCCTAACAATCATATCTCAACGGCATGTCATAGTCTGACAGCCATTAGGCTTTCCATCACGAAGAGACTGCACCTTGATGTGGTGTATTATTATTTCAGCACAAAACCAATTACAGAGATCTGGCAAATGTGCCACAACATATGAACAGAAAATCTGCAGAATGCGTTCATAGGTTGTGTGGGAACTTTACTTCCCGGTTGCCCTGGCCGAGGAAGGGGGATAGCCTCGGGGTCCCCACCCGAAGCCTTTGGCTAGAGAGCCAGACCTGCAAAACAACAGGACGGAGCTCAAAGTTCGCAATACATTGGGGGCCGGTGTCCAGTTCACTGAATCATAAGCCCTTTGGACGAGGTCTAACTTCCAAGGTGCTCAATACACCTTGATGTACAATCGAACCGGTGACCACTGCCGCGACCAGGTGTGTGTGTGGTTCGTAAGCCTCCTCTTGGTTAGTTTAGAATCAGGATTTTTAGCCAACTCCCTTAGGTAAACTGGCAATGGTTCACCAACCCGGATGTCGGCTTTTCGTCCTCTCACTTTGTTGGGAAAACACCGCCACGGGAAGGCAGTGAGTACGGTTTCCTCAGCAGAAGCTGTTTGAGATACTTGGTCATATGGGAGCATTTTGCGAGGTGTAAGGGAATGGTGACCAGTCTCAATCCCAGACACTCAACCAGACCATACTGAGGCTTTCGTGGTGTGATGGCTTGTGTGCCTCCATAACCCTGCAAGCTATACAGGATAGCTCCTCACAGCCGCAGATCCAACCATGCCTGAAAGGTCAATGGGCAGAGGCCAGAAGAAGCTCAGTATCACAAAGCCAGCTGCTTGGGTACCTCCTTCTATCCATATCCGCCCCTGGGGAGGTCACTCCAGTAAATAAACACCGTGAGGGGCAATTTGCCGGTCGAAAAAACCCCGCTAGATGGAAGTAGGAGCGGGGTACCTGGGGCTTCCTCTCGACGATGGGAGAAGTCTTCGAACTTCATTGGATAGCTACCGCCCGGCCGAGCTGGACAGCCCCCAGCCAATAAGTTGCAGTACCGTCCACGTCCTGTTTGTCTCGTTGAATGTATGAGGCTAAGGGCCAATCCCGAACAGCGGACCGACAATCAACGCACCAGCAAACAACACAATTAATCGNGTCTCAATCCCAGACACTCAACCAGACCATACTGAGGCTTTCGTGGTGTGATGGCTTGTGTGCCTCCATAACCCTGCAAGCTATACAGGATAGCTCCTCACAGCCGCAGATCCAACCATGCCTGAAAGGTCAATGGGCAGAGGCCAGAAGAAGCTCAGTATCACAAAGCCAGCTGCTTGGGTACCTCCTTCTATCCATATCCGCCCCTGGGGAGGTCACTCCAGTAAATAAACACCGTGAGGGGCAATTTGCCGGTCGAAAAAACCCCGCTAGATGGAAGTAGGAGCGGGGTACCTGGGGCTTCCTCTCGACGATGGGAGAAGTCTTCGAACTTCATTGGATAGCTACCGCCCGGCCGAGCTGGACAGCCCCCAGCCAATAAGTTGCAGTACCGTCCACGTCCTGTTTGTCTCGTTGAATGTATGAGGCTAAGGGCCAATCCCGAACAGCGGACCGACAATCAACGCACCAGCAAACAACACAATTAATCGAAATTGGCCTTGAGTGACAGGTCTCCAGAAACCCCCACACAGGTGCTTCGTTCACGCTCCCGCATTGGATTTACGCCTCACTGCTTTGTGGGTCAGAACTTTGAGTCGAGGGATCCGGTTAGGGTTCCCAAAGAAACACTCCTTCGTCGGTGTGGACCGTCGCGAAGTATACCGTGCCGTAAAGTCTTAGGCACTCATTTCACTCATCTTCCACCTTGTACAATGGCGAACCTTATCATTGCTCACACCATGTTCCCGCCAGGCATGAGAATCGCACGGAAGACATGAAAGTCAGTCGCCGTTGGGTTCGTTCTTTCTGGTCTAAGGCTTATACGATCAACGAACAAAAGCAGAACGTTGCAGGTGGAAAACAGACAAACGCCACTAGAACTTTCCCGGGAAGTATCTTCGTTAGCTCCAAATACATGAGTAATGTGATGGGCCTGATCTTACTAACTGCGCTTGCCTCTCACACGATTCAACGTGATCAACTACGATCCGTAACTCAAATCGTGGGGGTTAAGTTCGATCCAGATATGCACTTTGACAGTAATCGATTAAGCACATTGACTGGCACGTCTACCGAAGTGATTTGCCACTCTAGTTAGCATCAACCAGCGCACGGGAGAATCCATTGTCTAGGGAGGGGGAGGAACCGCGGTAACAAAAACAATCATTATTGTTACTCAGACAACATCCTACGTTGCGAGGCCCTGGAAGCTCAGAGGAAGGCTGGAAGGGCTGCTCCCACGGAAATTCAAAGGGATTGACCGGTAAGAATATCTCAATATATGTACAAAATGTGGGGGGCTATTTATACACGTAACAAGTAAGAGATAAAGTAACATAAAAATTCAACATGGGGTAAAATATACAGGTGTGTGTATGTATACAATATCTGTGTGAATCACTTATCCGGCTCCCAAAGATGTGTAAAACAACTAACTATTTAAGTCAGACGAGTGCTTTGTTTGGGTGATTTTAGTGGAGGCGACCAACGCAAACAGCTCACATCGAATTGGACTGTGTTATCGGTTGATTTGTCTTGGGAAGAATTCCGATCACTCGCCCATTTGCGTTCCCTTTCGGCAACTTTTTGCAAGTAAGCTCGAAGCGACCTTTTCTTCAAGTACAACGTTCGACCACACCGCCAAAACTCAATACCTTGATGAAATTTTAAGGTCCAGATGATGTCATCCAGTGTGATGCAGGTTGATGCACTGTGAAGAATGAATTAAGACAAACAAACAAATAGAGAGAATTGGTTAGTGACAAAATACACACACAGGCAAGATCACACAACACAATGAAAATTCCCTTAGTACACGCGAATTTCGCTTCAGTTTCACAACCATCGATGCAAAACGTGTCACCTTTTGGTTTCTGTTCAACTACAAAGCCCAATGAGAAATCAGATCTAAAATCGCAAATGTCACCAATAAGGCATCATGAGAGAAGTAAAATGAGTAATGTTTTCTAACCTTCATTTAACTGATTCACAATCACTGTTCAGTAACTATTCAGGAAGGAGGCTGCAATCAATCAGAAGTGGCCAGCAAAGAGAAACTATAATTTCTGAAAGAGGATATATCACCGGGTTTGGTCAACTGCAACCGATTTTCTTTTGTAAAACACGAACTAATCAAGCAGACAGTGAGACTTTGAGATATTAATATCGCGGTATTTGGCATGGGTTGATTCAACGGGAATTGGGTGGAAGTAATCAAGCGGTGTGAACCAGACCACTATATCATTGTCCCGGAGGTCAGATGTGCGAGACCTAGTGCAGTAAACCAAAAATTGTACTTGTTTGTATCACACGGTAGCCCTATAATTGGGTGCTTTCTCCTTTTTCCTGAATATTGATAGTGCACTGGCTTGGTGGTGATCAAGCGGTAAAGTTCNAAAGTTCACCGACTCATCGCCCCGGAGGACGTGCGTTCAAATCCCACAACCTCCGCCTAACTTTTCCTATTTTCTGTGGTGTTTGGCAGCTCTCTGGTTAACCACTTCTCCCTCCTGGAAATTGTATCCTTGTATGACAAAGTATTGAAAATCGGTTCCCGTAGTTCACAAGCACTGACGGTGTCACCTCGGCTGGTGATGAAACGTTTGCAACAAAATGGTAAAGCTCAGCGAGCAGACCAAATGTATCCTTATATATTCAATAAAAAGAAGTAAAATAAGGCGTAAACTTCAGTCTAGAATTCAAACAGATTATCATCGTTATTATGAAAAAAAGTTTGGAGCCAAATACATATACAATCAATCAAAACCGTTACTAGCGCATAGGTTGAATTGACCTACCTGAGTTCGTCCAGTGAGCACTGTGGATTCTCGGACAAAAAGTTGAATATGACATCTTCCCAATAACTGCGATAGCTTAGTCGACCCAAATCGGACAGTGGTTTCTCCGGAGTGCCGATGATCTGTTCTATCTTTGTCAGCTCATAGCCTAGTCATGTATGAGTTGGGCAAAACAAGGAAAAACAAGTGATACACGCATAAAGAGGGACACGATGGGAACCAAAATGTGATCAGGACTGAGGGGCACTTCCGTCTTGAAGTTTAAAACAAAAATGCGGTCTTTGGTATCGCACATTTCGATTACCAATGACAAATGATGAATGCATGTGAAATTTTAGTCATACAGATCAAAAGATAAGCGCTGGTTATGAAAGAATAGGTCTTATCCGTGACCAGAGGGAACAGATACAGTTACGCTAAGTCAAAGTGATCATTATCTACTCGAAGGGCGAGATTTTCAGCGACTGCAAGACAATAGCATGTAGCATGACACAGAAGGTAAGGAAAAAGTTGACGGTGCGAAAAACTGATCCAATTAACCATATATGAAAAGTAATATTCTTTCAGTTACTTTAACAATCCAGAACCAGTACCTCTAGGTAAAACGACCAGTACAAGTGGTTCAATCATTGACTATGCATCCCGAGGTGCTGTTCTGATTGGGAGCATCCAGTAGCCGCAGGGTACAATAAGTAGATTACAGACTCATGAGATGGTAGAGCACCTATTTGGAGAAATGTCCTCACCATAGGCTAAAAGGTTTGTGCAAGCTGACGTTTGAAGTATTCAGTAAGTGAAGGATGTGGTATTGCCGATCGACAGCAGTGAGGTTTTCTTTTATCAAGGCGTGGTAAGTTAAATCTATAGCACGTTTGGATTCACGGTTAGAATGTGTCATTTGCCGATCATACTGATCCAGTTGATTTACTCTGCTCACTGAAATCACTAACTTGTCACTTTACATATCTGTCCAGAGTAGCGATCAGCGAAGTGTGTTACATGTGATTCCGTTAATCTATAATAATGATAACGACTAATGAACGCTAACTACCTAAATAATCGACAAAACTTAAAAAACCACGATCTTTAACAGGTTAAGTCGTACAAATTGATAAAAATCATAGAAAATGACTTTTTTTAACAAAATCTGAATGGTAAGTCGAATTAATTTGCCCATCTATTCTCAGCTGTAACGCCCGATCTCTCGTTGGAAATATCGCCGATCTCATCAACTTTGCCAAACTGTGGGAATATGCCTAGCTTGATCTGACCATGCTTCAAGAAAGCTGGCTTCACATCAGAATTGATGATGAAATAGTGTACACATGGACGGTTTAGCTAGATATCGTTTCGATCGTCCTGTTGCTTATTCCGGACGGGCGGGGGGGGATGGTGGCATTATCACATTCGTCAAAACCCAGTGGAGTAACCTGAACAAAAATGTGTTCTCCTATTCTACACTCTACATAAATGCGTCTGTACTACAACGTAAGCCCAGACACGAGATTTTTCCGGTCGTTCGTTCTTTTCAACAGTTAAATTTTCCTCTTCACGCTCATCTGATGAAATAAGAAAAACACAGAAGCGAACAAGCTCGTTTGTGGTGATTCTTCTACAAGCATGTAGAAGATTTTATACATATCTGGATTTGGGTTTGATCAACCTGTTTTGTGTAGAATGCTCACCCACCCACCCCCATCCCACCTATTAAGAATGTCTGATAACTGTATATTACAGTTGCCCGCTACTATTTGTAGCAGAACCAACCACCGTCTCTATACTCGAAGAGGTGCTCACAAACTATAAGCCAGACAGCGTTCTCTAGAAAACCTTGCGAGGCTAAGGAAAATCCTTCAGTCACTCTGACCTTACTTTGGTTTCCAGTTCTAACCCTTCCGTTTTGTGTGATCGCTTAACAAATTATCCAAACTTTTGTTACTATGTTTGTTGTCCTTCAGTAACAATTTATATTCGCCCGATCGATTCTCCTCCCCACACCTCAAACAACTTCTTTGTAGAAAGGAGCGTGCCCTCAGGATGCTGTACTGCATTATATTTCCCATCTCGTTGTGGTTGTTGACACACTGTAGTCGAGTAGTTTTTTGAAAATGCACCCCTCGAGTTGTATAAAGCGATTTCTTGACTTGACGTAAATCGCTGCACTCAGGCTCAATTGCATGCACATTTGAACGATTCCACGATTAAACTGAACACTGACCAATATATTCGTTTGGACGGAGTCATTATACACAGCTTTCACACAGGACCTATCATACTGTGAACACATTTATATCTGGGGTGAACTGAGAACACGTGAACGTCAGAGCACATTGACCGGGACTTCAA